TTAATATTTAGCAAGTGCACATTGACACTTGGGATGCAGTGTCAGTATAAGGGTCCCAGAACTGTTCAGTATTCCGGCTGTGGCCTGGCTAGTGCCTTGTATAGTTTTAACAAAACCTCCTTTCCTTTTATACTTCATTTCCATTTGAAAGAAAGGCCAACATTCTATTTGCCTTCCCTATTATCCACCAAATTTGGATGCTAGTATTTTGTGATTCAAGACCTCCCAAATCCCTCTGTTCTGTAGCCTTCCACCATGATATTCTGTCTTCCAAGTCCCTGAAGAACCTTGTTCAGAAGCAAATAGAGTTTCTCATTTGCCTTCTCTATTGCTCACTGAATCTGGTGGGTAGCTTATTTTGTGCTTCATTCACAAGTCTCCGGAATACTTCTTTCTGCAGTCTTTCTCCATGTAAATAATAATCAGTTCCTCTATTCTTCAACCAAAGCACAATATCTACATTTTCCCACATTCCAAATGCCAGGTTTCTTGCCCACTCTCTCAACCTGTCCATATCCCTCTGTAGACTCTCTTGTCATCTGCAAAACCGGCTATTGTACATTCACTTTCCTCATCCAGGTCATTAATATATAATGTAAATAACTATGGCACACCACTTATTAAAGTTTGTTATCCTGTAAATGTTCCCCTTATCCCAACACTCTGTCTTCTATTTGTTAGTTAATCCTCTATCCAAACTGATATACTCCCTCCGGTACCATAGGCTCTTATTAACTAGCCAAATGTGTTGTGTCTTAATATTCAAATATATAATATCTACTGCTTTCCCTTTTATCTATCCTGCTTGTTACTAACTCAGATAATTCTGGTGAATTTGTCAGGCATGATTTCTCCTTCATGAAGCCATTGCTGAGTCTGCCTGATGATACTATATATTTCTATGTGCTTTGCTACTACATCCTTTATGATAGATTGTAACATTTTTCCTGATAACACACATTTAAGCTATCTGGCTTATAGTTACTTATTTTTTGTCTCCTTCCCTTTATAAATAAAGG